TGTCTTTTTTCAATAACTTTTTTTCTGAATAGAAAAGTAACATAAGCTCATTATAGGCATTTTGGAAAATTTAGGAAATCCTAAAGAAGAAAACAAAAAATCATCTACAATCATGCCGCTCAGATAGTCAATCTTAAAATTTTGGCCATAGAATCACCAGTCTTGTTTCATTTTCTTTCTTCCTTTTCCCCCCAGTCTTTTTTTCTTAAAAACACACATATCCAGGGACGCCTGGGTGGCTCAGTGGTTAAGCGCTGGCCTTCGGCCCAGGGTGTAATCTGAGAGTCACTGGATCAAGTCCCACATCGGGCTCCCGGCATGGAGCCTGCTTCTCCCTCTGCCTGTGTCTCTGCCTCTCTCTCTCTCTCTCTCTCTCTCTCTCTCTCCATGCCTCTCATGAATAAATAAATAAAAATATTTAAAAAAACAAAAACAAAAAAACCACACATATCCCACACAGGTGGAGCTACCCCACACCCCTGAACTAACTAGAAGTGTCCCTTCAAAAGTAACTAATCATTTGGGAAAAGAACACTTGGTCTTGTGTGATATCTACGTGATTGTCATATTTCTTCACTTCATTGACTGACCTAACCACTTGGGCTCACCTAACAGATATATTTGATTCTCACTTGCCTACCTGGTGTCTGATATCAGAAAGACATTAGGGTTTGAAGCCAATGGCCAAGAAAGAATTCTTGAGACGTCTTTGGTGCAGAAAGGTGGCTTTATTAAAGCACAGGGACAGGACCCGTGGGCAGAAAGAGCTGCACTGGGGTCATGAGGAGTGACCTAATATATATTTTCAAGTTGGGAGGGGGTTAGGGATAGTATAAGTCTCTAAGGAATTTTGGAAGCAGGTTTCCAGGACCTCAAGGGGGCTGGCTAGGTATTGTTGGTAAAAGGCCTTTATTACCCTATAATAAAACCTGAGTCATGAGACCCTTCAGAAGTGTATCAGTGGATCATACGTTTGGGGAATGATTGTCAACATGTATCTTTGGGAAGGAGTGGGTAGAGATAAAGGAAGTTTCCAAAGGACTTTTTATACATTAAAGTAGATTTACAGGAATCTGGGGGTTGGGCTAAGATTGCCTTTTGCCCTTAGCAAAGTAATAACATTGAGGCAGCTGAGTTCCTAGAGGAAAGTCACTCTGCCTGTTTCAAGGACTTGTCAATGGGCTTGGTAGGTAGTAAGGAAATTTAATAATTTGTCTTCTGCCTTTGTTTCCCACATCAGTTTCCACCAGTTGGACTATCCATTCCTCTGGGATCTTGATCCTCTCCACAGCTCAGGGCAAACCCAACTTGTCTAAAACCTGACTTTCATTGTAAACTCATTCTCCTTCTCTATGACTAGTTTATAGGTGACCAGGGAGATGAGAAGAATATGGGGACTTCTGGGACAAATTCTTTGCTCCTAAGAGGGACACACAAGACAAGAGCAGTTTTTTATTACCCTGAATGCTATCCTGTGTGGATTAATGCCTGGAATTTTGGAGCTATTTTGGGAGATTGAGAGAAGCTAGCTGGACGGTAAAGCCCAAAGCACCTAATTGATCCAGACAGAATATTCTAGAAGACCTCTAGCAAAACACAAGAAACCACTGGATACAAAACAGACTGTTGTAAAGCAATTTACAGAAGAATATATATAATATGATCCCATTTCTATAACCAGATAGTTAGATATAAATACATAGAAAAGAGTTGGGAGTAGACTCTGGAGGCATATACACCAAAATGTTGGCAATGGTGACCTCTGACAACCAGGTGAATCAGGGCTTCAACTTTTTATTCTATATGTATTTGTATTGTTTCAGGTTTTTATAGTAGCACACATGCATGTCTTGCTTGTGCCATTTTTTTTAACATTTTAATTTTAAGGGGTATATGTGGCTTCCCCTTTATTTGAAACTTATATCAGAAGCTCAGAGCACTCTTCTTTAAAAAAAAAAAAAAGGTTTTGTGGTCAAAAAATTCTTCAAGTTATTTTCAGTTTCTAGGGGGATCCTCTTCATCTTATAGCTCAGCATGCCTGCTGTTGTCAACAGACTCCTCTTTCCCATAGGAAAAACCACAGGGAGATCACAGGTTTGGTTCAGTTTTCTTGGGGCCAGGGTCTGGATTGTGAAGTGGGACAAGATGATAAACCTCTTCTGTGAAATCAGGACAAACAGCATTTGGCTGACATCATGAGAGTGCTGACTGACCTTGTGAGTATCCAAGAGATAAGTACGGCAAAGGACGCATCTCTGGGCAACGGAACACTGGAGTTGTGCAGAGTGTCTCAGAGTGCAGGCCACGGTCCCCACATCAGGACCACCCGTGAACTTGTTAAAATGCAGGTTCCTGAGCCCCACCCCTGATCTAATGAATAACAATCTCTGAAGTAGGGCCTGAGAGCTTGAATTCTTTATTATCTGCAGAGAAAGTATGAGAACTGCTTTCTCTGTGGATAAACTGGACTCATCAAAATGGTCAGTCCTACGGGGCAGAGATGGGGCAAGCGTAGGTTCTTCTTTCTCATCCTGGTTATCCGGATGCTCAGAGCCAAATTAGGGGCTCAGCTGGAGCCACCAAGTTTCCCTGCATGAGGACTTATTAGGAGCTCTGTTTCTGGCTCCTCCCATTAATTCCGTCTCTCAACTTCTATGTTCAGCGTCCCCTAACAAGCTACCGAAAGTCTTCCTGGGGCAGGTAGGATAGATAAATCAGTCAATAAAGCAGCCATTTATTAAGCACTTAGCCAGGATGCTGTGCTAAGTGCATTACATCTGACCTCATTTAATCTCACAACAAACCTAAGATCAGGTACTATTATTAACCCCATTTCACAGATGTAGGAACAGAGGCTTAGGGGAGATAAGCAATGTGCACAGCAGGTGCTGGAATTCAGGTCTCTAGCACCAGAATCCATGCTCTTAAACACGTACTACTACTACTTGTTCTTGATGTAGGTGCAGAGTTGTGTCCCCACATTTTTCACACAGGACTGGTCCTGGGGCTGTAATCTGAGTAGAAAGGTGGGGGGGGGGGGGGCTGACCTTGAACCTTCTTGTCCATAACTAGCATACTATTTTTACTTAGATTTTATGTTCAGATCAGCTTTTTTTTTTTTTTTACTTTTGAAGATGTGTTTACCAACACATTGGTAAAATGTTTTTGTCTTACTTGTCTTGTTTTATATATGTAGGTACTCATGGAAGGTCACAGAAGGGCTCACCTGTAGCGATGCAGCCGCTGTAAATGAATTAGTGAAACTATTTCATGTCAATTTTATTTATTTTTTTATTTCAATCTTAAATGAAGTTTTCCATTCAGTAATCTTTGATGATTTGTTGGCAGTAATAAATATTTTCTACAGAAAGAAAGAACCCCTCCCTGCAAGTTGACACAAACTTTAATCTATGTGCGTGTATCATCTAACAACAAAAACCAAACCGTGGAGAGGCCCCTGCCCCATCACGGTCTAGCACTATTCCCCAGAGATGCCCACCGTAAAAAGCCAAAGGGCCCCCATGCTATCACACAACCAAAATACAACGCAACTTACTTTGCCCGCATCTACATACGCCTCGGATACAGGATGCTGTGCTTTGTTGTCTAACGAGAGAAGATCCTCTCTTGTCGCTTGAAGCCTAAAGGGCAGACGAGATGGGAGAAGGCGCTGGGAGCTGGAGGCCCTGTCTCCGCCCAACCCGAGCACCAGGTCGGATAACCAGTGGGACCGCCGGCCCAGCAGCCCCCGCCCTCGCCGGATGGGACTAACCGAGGAAGTGTGCGGTCGGGGAGCTCCGCTGCTCTCGCCCGGGTTTCCATTCCCCCCGCCCCACCCCCGGGCAGAAACTACGAGGAAAGCCAGCATGGGAACCTGCGCCCACCTGAAACTCTGCGGGGCCCCAGGAACTTCCCCCGCGCGCGGTAACCGGGGCCGGGCGCAGCTCCCGCACCGCCTCGCAGCATCGCCCTCTGCCGGCGGCTCTGGGAGCGACACCCGCAGGCCTGTTCTTGCCGTGGGGGCGGTGGGGGCCGTGGGGGCTCAAGCCCGGGTTCACTTGCTGTTCTTGTGCAGATGTGGGGGGAAGGGGGGGCTAACACTGCGTTCACCTTTCATCCCTCTTAACAATGTTAAATTCCGCTAGGAATTTCTGGCGAATTCTGCTCATTCTGCGCTTTGGTATAGAGCTCCTAGGGCCATAGTTTTGTGTGCAAATGCGTGCGAGGTTATAGTCTGAGTTCCCCGGGGTGGGGGGTGGGGGGCTGGCTTCAGGGTGCCATGCTTGTCCATATGCCTGACTGCGGGTATTTCACTTTCTGCCCCTACCTGTCCATGAGCAAGCACCTATGAGCATGGGCTGTACCCCTACGTATTTGAGTCTTATTAGGAAGGCGCACGTTTTTATTGCCTTCCCGGGGCTCTGCCTGTGTGAATATGCAAGGGTGTGTGTGGTGCATGGAGCCAGAGTGGGTGATAATGGTATGTTTCTGAAATCCAGATGTTAAAGGAAAAATGTGGTTGGAGGGGAACCCCAACTATACTAAATCCTTTACCCTTCATCTCACTTTCTTTGACTTTAGGAGAACCATAGTGTTTGCTTTTGGTCTCCTGCCTGACCTCTCCTTGGCCTTCCTTCTCCAGTCTGTGTAGCCCAGGGTAGCTGCCTGGTGCAGGCTCTAAGCACATTGACTGTGATGTCAACGCAAAGAAGTGAGCATCCCATCTCCTTCCTTTTTCCCCACCCAAAAGTCATTTCCTCTTAGTTCATTACCTGGGATTTTGATGCCTGTGTTCCCTCAGCATTATTGATACACATAGGGGAAAAAAAAAAAAAAAAAAGGAACTTCTTGAAATTCCCCCAGAAGGTTTTGAGAGTTGTTTTTAGTGTTGCAACTTGGACAAGTCAGTTTCTAGTTTAAGTTTCCATCCAAAAGCTCGGTAGGAGTAGGGTATATAAGCTCCAGTAGCACTAGCAGCAGCAGCAGGAGAATCGGTTTCAGACCCAGGGAACCTTGCAGCCTGGCCAGAAGCAAGGTAAGCACTTCCTTAGCCCTGGCCACTGTTCCGCAGCCCGCAGGCTGGCAGGGCTACCTGGCATTGCGGAGTGGGTGGGTTTCTGGTGACTCACCTGCTGGGACACTAGCGAAAAGTCAGTACTTTGGGGACTGATGTAGAAAGTATTAATTTAATTTAATTTAATTTAATTTAATTTAATTTAATTTAATTTTTTAGAAAGTATTAATTTTAAAAGTCACCTAATAATAATCGTACACCAAGTTCTGTGAATGAACGCACATTTTGTAGAAAGATTTGTTTTGTCTTGTTTTAAAGTGCTATGTACATAAAAGTATGTTGTTCGATATTAATGCCTATCAGTTAAATTGTATAAAGTGAGTGGCACTTCCCTAGTACTGTAAACTTTTTAAAGGGTGTTCATTCATTAAGTCATAATGAATTCAATAAACAATTGAATTCATACTTATACCTCATAGCTGGACGGTGCAAAGCATATTTGCTCCTATATTTGTGTTGGGTTTATTTTTTGTTTGTGTTTGTGTGTGTGTGTTGGGTTTAATAGTTAGGATCATCAACCAGATTGATAGATTTTTTGGATTAACTAACTTCGGCACTACTTTAAAAATAAAAAGCAACTGCATTGTTTTTAATCTTTTTAATTAAAAGCGTTTTTAAATCTGTGAGGAGGGAAAAAGATTATACTATACTGGTGCCTTATAGTTGTCCAGGTAAATTGTGTGCAACAATTTTCAGATTTAAAAAAATAGTGATCAGGGACACCTGCGTGGCTCAGTGGTTGAGCATCTGCCTTCGGCTGAGGAGTGATCCCAGAGTTCTGTGATTGAGTCCCTTATTGGGCTCCCTGCGGGGGGCTGCTTCTTCCTCTGCCTGTGTCTCTGCCTCACTCTATGTCTCTCATGAATAAATTGATAAAATCTTTTAAAAAATAATAATAACAACGATCAAGTCAAAATATCACTTGAACCAAGAGATTACCAAATCCCAGCTGCTGGCCCAGTTTTTTTCAAATAAGAAATTTCAAGGTATTAGAAAGAATTTGGGTAACCTCTTAGTGTTCATTTTACTGGGATCTGAAGTTTTACGGTTTCTGTACATTCATTCATTCTTCCAATCATTAATGAAATTCCTCTATGCTAGAATACTTATGTTGAACTTTGAGGATATAGAATAAGAAAGACATGATCCTTGCCGTCAGAGAGCTCAGTGTGTCAGGAAGAACAAACATAAAGAAGTAACTATATCATATTGAGATATATATAGATATATATATAGATATATATATATATATAAATTGTAGTAAGTGCTAAGAGTGGGCTTCAGAGAGAGCAAATAGCCAAGAGTCCTGACTTCCTCTGGGCAACATGCTGGACACCTTACATGAAATATTTCATTGACTCATCACCACAACAGGATGCCCGTTTTACAGGTTGAGTGTGAGGCTTAAAGAACCCAAGTGACTTGCCTGGAGTCACACAACTAATAAATGACAGAGCTGGGATGCCAGTGCAGCTCTACCTGGCTCTACCTTTGCATGTGCTACCCATGCCTTGTGTGACTATGGCTTTGTATTTTTAAATAATAATTCTCTTTAAGTTAAAAAGTAACAAGGTAAAACTTGAAAAAGAAGTGTCCACCCAAGTGTCATGGGCATGCCCATGTCGGCACCAGCATTAGGGAGTGTAACCATACCTGGGTCCTTGTGTTCCTTATACGAGGATCTCAAGAATTAAGAAAACCTACAAAATTACATGGAAATAGGTTTAATCCTCACGTCTCCTATTTAGCACACCAAGGAAATGTGGGCTGTGGAGTATAGCTCTCTGGTATCAGATGATCTGGAGAACAGCAGGGTAACTACATGCCCCCCCTCCTTTTTGGATTCCCCTGGGTTGGATTAAAAGAGTGATCCACCACCACCTCCACTCCCTGCCCATGTTCCGGGGTTTAAAATGTAGGTGATTCTAAAATGCAATTTGTTTCTTAGAATCAACACCAGGGCTCCCTTGACCCTGAATTGCAGTTCACCTGAAGTTCTCATACACATCTAAGGCCCCAGGAGGAAGTGCTAGACACAGAGGCAAAAGGGAAAACCCCAGCATTAAGATAGTGCAAAAGAATTACTGGGAGATGCCAGGAATCTCTGTTATTTCCCTTCCCAGAGTGCCAGCATCTGGTCTTTACAAGCCTGTGTAATTGCAATACCTCTAGGGCATTTCCCTACAGCCAGGCACGACTTTTTAGCCTAACATTGTACACAAAACAGACATATCAAATATTTCCTTTATCTCTTCCCTTGGTACAAGCTGACATGTTATTGGTTGCCTTCTATGATATGCCCTCTGATTGCGTTGCCTCAACAACCCTCTGAGATGGGTATCATGTCCATGTTATAGAGGAGGAGACAGGCTCAGAGATCATTTGGGCATCACACAACTAGCGAGTGGAGAAACTAGATCAAGCCCATGTCTGCTTGACTCCAAGCCTGTGAATGTCCTAACTGATGCCCCGTGGCAACTAGTCCATTGTCACAGTTGTAACCTGGACTAAATGAATAGACATGTTTGTGAAGGCTGCAGGGACAGAGTGCTGAATCTACAGGACAGCCAGATCTAGTCCCGTCTCTGCCACCCACAGCCCTTGTAATCTAAGGGAATACAGTGCCTGGCAGGGTTCTCCTAAGTTAGCAGCCATGATTTGTCAATATTCAGTCACTCCAACCAAGGGATTCTCATTTTTAAGATATTTGGCCAAAAATTTTTAGTCTTATTCTTCTTATGATTTAGTCAGTGGTTTCTAACCACGTGTCAGAGAACATGGGTGCTCTCCGAGATGGATGGAGGTGTTTCAGGATGAGATGAAATAATAAATTTCTCTACCTAATTCAGAAGTAGGGTACAGTTTTCACATTCTAAATATTTGCACAAACCCTGGATAGTAATCTAGATTGAGTTTTGCTATCAGAAAGAGGTGGTGGATTGGGCACAAAATGATGCATTTTGCTTATCATAGTGGGTATATCAATATTTTAGGGTCTTCTCCCAAAGAACATCTTGATTTTCAGCGCTTATGGGCTTGAACATGGGTTAAACCAGTGGTTCTCAAAGTGTGGTCTGTGGACCAACAACATCAGCTTTATCTGGAAACTTAAAAAATGCATATTCTGAGGTACTCCCCTCCCTCAACCTGCTGAATCAAACCCTCTGGAGGTGGGACTCAACCATCGGTATTTTAACAAGGCTTCCAGGTTACTTTGATGTGCGCTCAAGCTTGAGAATCACTGGTTTTATGATGTAAGAGGAAGTAACCTTTGAGTGTGGAGCAATTGCTATCTAAACAAGGAGAGAAACTAAACCTGGCCACCAGATCATTACCATAATTTGAAATCACCTCTAATTGTCTCCCACCACCACCACCACTACCACCCCAAGTCCTTTACCCCTAGGTGTTACCGCACATACTGCCTTGTGCTACAGTGACACAGGGTATAGCTGGTCTCTCTGACTAGAGGGTAGGCATTTAACATACTGACTTCATAAATATTTGTTGAATGAAAGTGTTTGCTCCTAGAAAGCAGAATCCAGGCCAGAAATCCTTTTTTTGCTTCCAACATATCTCGCTCAGAGCCCTTTACATAGTACCAAGTATATAATTGCTAAATGCAATAACAATAAGTCATGTTCCTGCTCTGAGCTGTGGACTTCTCAGCTTAAAAATAAGAGGATTCTATCAGACAGCTGGTCTCCTTCAGCTCCAGATAGTCTGTGGTTCTCTCTTTGAAGATGTTCTTTCCCAGAGACTGGCACAGGGCTCCTGTAATTCACTTAGTACTAATCTGACAGTGCAGAGAAGAAAGAGAAAATTAAAAATTAAAAACAATGTACATAGAATGAATATGGTTTGCAAAGCAACTGAATGACTACTGACATTGTCTCTTCTCTTTTTCCCTCCTGCTCTCTTTTCCTCCTTCTCCTCTGTTTCTCTACCTCCTGCAGATGCATCCTCAGCAGTTGGTCATCTCCTGGTTTTCCCTCGTTTTGCTGGCGTCTCCCCTCATGGCCGTATGGGAACTGGAGAAAGATGGTAACCAGCCTCTTCTTCTCTGTGGTGGCCCCAAATTCTGAGCCAGGACTCATCAGACAGGCCCCAGAGGAAAATCAGGGGCAATCAGGCCTTGGGGCCTCCTAGTGAGCGCCATCACTGGCAAAATGCAGGCCATCTGTCCTTCCTTCACCTTTGAGGGCATCTATGTCATTTGGCTTTCATATTAGATGCCAGAGTAGAAGCTTTTTGTGGACTGTGATGGGAAGGGTATACGGACTTGGCAGGTATTACTAAAAACCAGCGGCATTGTACAATTAAAATTCCAAAGTGAAGGATTTGGAAAGAGTAAGAACTCCGTTCGATCATCCCCCACTCCACCACACATCACCCCCTCCTTTGGCACTGAGAGAACTCACTTCTGACCAAGCACTTTTGGGGAAGCATAGCATTTAGACTCACATTGACTTGGGCTCAGAGGCTGAGGCTCGATAAGGCTGACTTATCAATTAGATGACCTTGAGCTGGGTCACCTCTAAGGCCGAGTTTCCTCAACTGTGAACTAGGGATTATGAAATGACACCTACAACCCAGATGATTGAATGTTACTGAATGCAGGGGACAACTCAACAGATGTGAAGTGAGAATAAATGTTAGCCAGTATTGCTTTGGTTGTTTAAAATGATGTCTCTGATGAATCAAGAGAACCTGTTTATAATCCAACTGATTGATAAAAATCACAAGTAGAATAATAGAATAGGTAGGTATTAGTAAAATAAGGGGTTCCTCTATCCTTCTGTTGTCTCACACACAGTAAATAATATATTAACTGATTGTTACTTGTTCCCGAACTATCTTCAGATGTTTCTCATGGAAGCCAACATAATGTTGGCAATTACTATCTCTAATTGTATCATAGTAATAATAGTTAATATTTATCGAGCACAGTATCTCATTTAATTCTCATAACCTCACGTGAAATAGGGTCTGTGTCCCATTTTATCTATGCTGCAAATGGAGGCTACAGAGATTAAGTAACTTCCCCAGTTTCCCAGACCTGAGAAGGATGGAACAGGGATTGATCTCAATTCTGTCTCACTTCAAAGTCTGTGCATTTAAGTATTTGTAGAAGGTTTTACAAGAAGGTCATGAAGCAGTTTTTTTCCTATGCTTGGAGCACAGGAGGAAATAGGCGTAAGTTAAAAGTGAAGCCACTTCAGTTGTTGATCAGAAATAACCTGTTGATGGTCAGGAGAGTGGCACACTAGAAAATGGAAACCTGAAAGAAATTTGAGACTTTTCCTCCATTCTTACTCTTTTCGGGAAGGCAACAATCCAGCCATCTCCCCTCTGCCCGAGGAGGGTCTGAGAGTTCTAGAGCCTCCCTTGAGTAAAGGCAAAGGCCTGGAGCCAGATGATACTTCCAGATCCCTGTCCAACCCTGGGAGTTTTAGCGAGCTCAGGAAGCTTGGCTATTGCATAGTAAACCCCAAAGTTACTTCTAATTTGGTAAACCACAGAAATTCCAGGAAGTCAATGTGAGAAACAGAGGGCGGGACGACTTTGGAGGCTGGATGAGGAGATGAAGCCAGGCACAGGGTTCTAGATCCTCTTCGTCAGGCTCCCTCTTGCAGTTGTTGCCTCCTGCCCTTGGGGGATGGGGTCTTCCAGGCCTTCTGAGGCTCAGTTGTGCTGTTCAGTTGCTAGTGGAAAAAGAATAACTGGAGAAAGCCAAGGTGCCACGTGGGTTTATGTGGGCACAGCCTATCATTTCCAAAGAACCAGGTCCCAAATGCTTCTTACCTCTTGTCTTTGTTACCCATTCAGGACTTCTAAATCCCTCTGATCCAAGGTGAGAACTTTATATTCCACAACGCTTTACATGTGGATGCCAACAATAAGAGTCACCGTGTATAGAGCATTTAAGGGCACTCTGTGAAGCCGTTGTATGAATTAGCTTGTATAATCCGTGTCTCAACCTGCTGAAGCAAGCACTAATATTTTGCTCATTTTAAAAAATGATGACACCAAAACTTAGAGTAATTGGATATCTTGCCTGAGGCCACAGGCAAGTATCAGATATAGAGCTGAATCTAAACTCAGACCAGTGTGACTTCAAAATCCAGGCTCTTAACCAGTGTGGCTCTCAAACCTGATAGGGCATCCAAATCCCCTGGGGAGCATACAGAACAGATCATCGGGCCCATCCCAACATTCCTGATTCATCGACTCGGGTTTTGTATTTTCCACAGTTTCCTAGGTGCTGCTGCTGCTGGTGGTTGAATGATCAGGCTTGGGGAACCACTGCATTAAATGGTCTAGTTGATTAGTAAGTGATGTGTGTATGAATGAAGCTGTGATAGGACAACTCATTGAAGTACTCTCCTAAGCCATTCCTCAGGTTGGAGAGCCAATGCCAAGCCAGGGAGACAGAAGACCTGAGATATAGCTCTTAGGCCTCTAACTTTTTTTTTAAGATTTTATTTATTTATTCATGAGAGACACACACACAGAGAGAGAGAGAGAGAGAGAGAGGCAGAGAAATAGGCAGAGGGAGAAGCAGACTCCATGCAGGGAGCCCGATATGGGACTCCATCCCAGGTCTCCAGGATCATGCCCTGAGCCAAAGGCATAGATGATCTAAGCACTGAGCCACCCAGGCCTCCCTTGTGCTTCTAACTTAATGTAACCTTGCTTAGCCTGCTGGTTTTGGCACACTCCTCCTTGAAATGGGAAGACCAAGATCTACTGAACTGCTTCATAAGAGTGTAAAACTGCTTTAAAAAATAGAATGAGGGACGCCCGGGTGGCTCAGCAGTTGAGCATCTGCCTTTGGCTCAGGGTGTGATCCTGGAGTCTGGGGATCGAGTTCCACATCGGGCTTCCTGCATGGAGACTGCTTCTCCCTCTGCCTGTGTCTCTGCCTCTCTCTCTGCGAGTCTCTCATGAATGAATAAATAAAATCTTTAAAAAAAATAGAACGAAAATCTCTATTGATAAGTTTTAGTGGTAGGAACTAAATCCTCAAATGCCCATGGAAAATTATAGGGCAGTATCTCTGTGCAGTCATCTGACCCTTTGGCGTGTGAATAACAATAACTAACCCTGAGTTTACTGTGGTAGGCACTGTCCTAAATATAGATATATTTAATACTAATATCCAAACCTACAACACAGATGCTATTATTATCATTTTACAGTTGAGGAAACTGAGGCTTATGGTGATTTACTACCTTGTTCCAAATCCCTTAGCCAGTTAGTGGGGGGATAGGATCTCAGTGCTGGTCAGTCTGTCTTGACATCTCTGGGCCCTGCCTTACTGTCCACGCAATTGAAATTGTGCTGGAAGGTTCTTCTCTCCACCAGGCCTTTGGTAGATAGTTTTTTGCTGTTCACATGTTTTGGTATATCAAAGCCTTCCCCATTGCCGGCGAATCAGAGGTTAATTATTAAAGACAGCCTGCCAGTTAATAACTACGTGGCAGCTATAAAACTCTTTGCTTGTCTCTTCATGACCTTATATCCAAGTAGGGCCTAGTGGCCTGAAATCAATCATCTCAGCAAGCATCTGCTGTTATGAGCCAGGTTGTGCTCTGGCAGTACAGATGCACAGGTGGTTCACAAAACCCAGTCGCAGAGTTCATGAAGCTCACAATCCAGTTCTCCACTCCCTGTGCTCTCCAGTTTATGTTGTAGAGTTGGATTGGCACCCTGATGCCCCTGGAGAAATGGTGGTCCTCACCTGCCATACCCCTGAAGAAGATGACATCACTTGGACCTCAACGCAGAGCAGTGAAGTCCTAGGCTCTGGTAAAACTCTGACCATCCAAGTCAAAGAATTTGGAGATGCTGGCCAGTATACCTGCCATAAAGGTGGCAAGGTTCTGAGCCGCTCACTCCTGTTGATTCACAAAAAAGAAGATGGAATTTGGTCCACTGATATCTTAAAGGAACAGAAAGGTAATTCCATTCCCTCAGATGGTGTCAGTTTTCTCTTTTGCGCCATAAGAAATAAAAACTTTAAAAATGTAAAAGGCAAGACATGACTAGTGTAGTTAATGAACAACAAGGGAATATCAAATCCCTTGCTAGAACCACCCAGGACTTAGGTTTTTCTTTGCTTTCTTAGACACTTGGAGTAATCAACCAACCAAATCTCATGTTGAGAGATTGTCATGGTGAATCTGATTGGTTTTCCTGAAGTTCTTTTTAAATGGCTAATGGAAATTAACCAATGTGTATAGTGAATAACTCAGCACTGGGGTGGCAGCTTTGAAAAACTTAATCCCTCCCTCTGATGTGTTAGGTGCATGGCATGCTCTGCAGAATCAGCAACCTATTGAGACATTGCCAGTCCCCATTGAACTATCAGGGGAGCAGCAGCATTTTCCAAGGAAATAAATGGAAGATCTTCACTCTTGTAGCACTGGGTGGCCTGTGGTTCATCACAATTAAAGTCTATCTGAAAGAAAGCCTCTAAATATTGAATTTTTGTTCTTTTCAAATCCAGAATCCAAAAATAAGATCTTTCTGAAATGTGAGGCAAAGAATTATTCTGGACGTTTCACATGCTGGTGGCTGACGGCAATCAGTACTGATTTGAAATTCAGTGTCAAAAGTAGCAGAGGGTAAGTGAAATCACTAGAACTATTTGGCTAGAACTATTTCATTAAGAAAACAAGGGCAACCTCTCCATGGCCTATCAGTTAATAATAGGGGAGTAAACAAAGTCAAACGTGTATTTTTTCAACACCCACTGTTACCTAAACTGGGGAAAGAACATGGAGATTTAAGCTAATCGCCTGAACAAATGTGTGGGTTAGAACAGGATATTACTGGGATCTGAGAATAGCCTCTGCCATGTTTGAACCCACTCATCCAGATTGCCTGGCAATGCTTCATTAAGGCTCATAGCACCATGGGGAGGGATAAAAGGAGAAATCAAAGCTACGAATGACTTGCCAAAATTGCACCTTGAGATGAAAATAGAAACAAAAGCTCCAGTGCACAGATCTTGAAAGCCCTGAGGCCAACTCCAAAACCCTGAGGTTTCTAGAAATTTGTCCAGAGCCACCTCAACTCCTTTTCCTTTTGCCGGCATCACTGATCTGAAGTTTACTGTTTGTCCAATACACTTGGACTTCCCCTAAGAAATATTTTTCCACGGATACTGAACCTATGTCAGCGGGTCTGTGTGACTTCCCTCACTCGCCATCTAGGTTCCTGAACTGACAGAGCAAACCCCAGGTGATCACCCTGGCCTTGTCACTTTTTAACTGAGTAAATAAACCCCTGGGGTATCCCTTTTCCATCTTGAAAATGAAAATGCTTACCAAAGGAATGCTTATACAAATGCACTGAAACACAGATGCCAGCGTTCATTGTGATGTTTTTGGTAATCAGCAGGGGAAAAGTTAAAGTGTGATACATTATCCAGCTTAACGTGGATAACCCAATCTATGTGGTCTCTCATGGAGCACTTCCCATATGTTCAGAGAGGGAAGAGATGGTTATTAAAAACCATACATATATCTTTATATTTATGGTTTATATATACATATATAAATAGTTATATCTATTTAATGAAAAATAAAATCATTGTGTATATATAGAAATATGTGTGTATCCATATGTACATGTGGATATATGATTGCTTTGAATATTCATAGACAAAGGTCTGGAGGGATACAACAAGCTATGAATAGTATTTCTATTTGGGGAGTGAGATTAGGGTTAAAAGAGGCACACACATTTCATTTATACAGGTTTTAATCTTTTTCATTTTTTATAATTAGCACGTATTGGTTTTGTAATTAAAGTGGGAAAAATGAATTTAAAATTTTAATAGGGAGATTGAACCAAGGGCTCTGGATCTAAAAATTTCTGAATTCATTTAAGCCAAAGGGATGTAAATGCAGAGTTGTCTGTAAATATTTGTACCGCCTGTTGTGGCAAAGCTTGTTCTCCTGGGGAGGGCAGTTTCTTACGCTTTAAGGAAAAATCAGGGCATACTTGGATCAATTGTATCCTCAAACAGCTGTCTAGCTGCAACCACTGGGAGCTTACCCACAAATGTGTGACAGAGGGTAATGTCTGTCTTTGACTTCAGCTTCTCTGACCCCCAAGGGGTAACATGTGGAGCAGTGACACTTTCAGCAGAGAGGGTCAGAGTGGACAACAGGGATTATAAGAAGTACACAGTGGAGTGTCAGGAGGGCAGTGCCTGCCCCTCTGCCGAGGAGAGCCTACCCATCGAGGTCGTGGTGGATGCTATTCACAAGCTCAAGTATGAAAACTACACCAGCAGCTTCTTCATCAGAGACATCAGTGAGTTCGCTTAATTATATGTGCTTAATAAGGATAAATGCCATTTGTCACATGTTCACAATGACTCCATGCACTGAGGTAAGGGGTTTACACGCATTGTCTCTTTTATTCTGTATCCCCAAAAGACTACAATATAGGTACTATTCTCTGCATTTTAAGGAAGAGACAATTGAACCTCAGATTAAATAAGTTGCCCCAGATATCACAGCTAGAAACTCAGAAACCAGTTCTGCCCCACTGGAAAAAGCGGGCTTTTGGCTACCCTTCTATCTGCTACCCAGGCAGCTTCCATGGTGAATCCAGGAGGACCCCCCTCAAACATAATATTTACCTTCAGAACCAGGGCTTCCCTACTAATTGCAATTATTCCCAACCAGGCTTTCTCTAGCATTTGAAAAAGAATCTTCATTATTGGAACATAAGCCCCTCCAAAATGGACATCAATTTTTTTAATCGGCAGATGGAGATTTTGCCATTTGTCACTTCCTTTACCATTTATCCATTGAACATTCATCATGAAATAACACTTGTAGAACCACAGAACTTGCTCAAACATTTATGGAGAAATTACTCTTGGTGGGTAGGAGGAGGTTTGAGTTCCATGGAATGGCCAGGAAAGGTCTCTCTGAAATGATATTTAGCTGAATTCTGAAGGAAAGAAGATGTCAGTTGTGTTAAGAACAGAGAGAAGAATATTTGAAAAGCATCTACTAGGAGCCATGGTCTTTGGACATTCCATAGTGTCTCCTTTGCCCCCATCCAGACAAAGGTATGCTACTCAAAGACAGTCTTTTGTGATACTCGCTGCTGTATCCTCCGCACATTGCACAGTAGCTGGCACAAAGCTGGTGCTCACTCACCATTCACTGAATGAATGAATGAGCATAGAGACAATCTGACTTCAACTGTTGCAAGACAAGTCAGTGCCAGATGCCGTGAGAAGACAACAGAAAGAGCACTAAGTGGGCAGTCTCTCATGTTGTCCCTAGCAAGAGACTCAGCTCAAGTCCAAGTTTTGTGCAAAGAGGGATATTGAGCACAGGGAGGGTGGTCCTTCCGCACCTAGCCCAGATGTGAGAGTCTTCTTGTCTCTGTGGAATTTCTTCTGAGCACTATGGAGAGGTAGTCCTACTGCCAGGGTTCATCTGCTTGTGCAGGGATGAGGAGGATTCTGAGCCTCTCTCAGGGTCAGCCAGAAAGGATTGGACTACTGGTGAGGACTGCCTCCCATAGGCACCAGTGTGAGCACCAGCAGCAGGGATGCCTCACATCTGCCAACTAGGTGCCCAGAGAAGTTAAGTAACTATCCCACAGACACACAACTGGTCAAAGGTGAAAGTGGGATTAGAAGGTGGAACTACCTTACACCAAAAGCCTGTTAGGAAAATCAAAGGTGTTTCTATATCTTCTTCCACAGTCAAACCAGACCCACCCACAAACCTGCAGCTGAAGCCATTGAAAAACTCTCGGCATGTGGAGGTCAGCTGGGAATACCCCGACACCTGGAGCACCCCACATTCCTACTTCTCCCTGACATTTTGCATACAGGCCCAGGGCAAGAACAATAGAGAAAAGGTAAGTTGTGACTCCAGTACCATGTATTCAGGTTTATGCAGGGCCCACATCTAGGAGATGAGTTGTGATAACAGTAGCTAACATTTATTTAGCACTTTCTACATGCCTGAGACTGCACTAAGGGTTTTACGTGTATATCTCGCTCAATCTTTAAAGTAACCTGACGAAGGCAGAGAGTGTTACTATCAACATTTCACTAGTGAAGTAATTGGAGCTCAGAGAGGTTCAAGGGCTTACCCAAAGTTACCCAGCTAGGCAGAGTCAGAACCAGGAAACCATTCTGGTGAACAAAAATTCCACACACCCAACCATGCCACCGCCTTCAGTATGGTTGATCATTCATTCTTGCACTCAGAATTGGTCCTGACATAGGAAATCTGAGTTCCAGGAGCCTCAAACTATTATTGTTGCAATTTAGTGAGTCTAAGGAATGATAGAACATTCATGCTATGTCTCACCCCAAATGGATAATTCCCAGCTCTTCCACATATCATGAAATTATTTCATTGAGCAGAATGTTAGTGTTTACATAGGCTAAGACAATGGCTTCCAACTTTCTTGCCTTGGCATCATAATCCTAAGGTCTCGAAGACACTTTTATAAAGCCCAAGACTCCTTGGACTGCGGTTTTAGAATCACTGGATAAACGCCTTATTCGGGATAGGGTTTAGCATTTGATAGAAAATCGGTCATTCAGTCACTCCCTGAGAATTATTTTTTGTAGGATAGAAAGGCTATTCTTGAGTAGATTTTACCTATTTATTATTTAAAGTATTGATATGTATCTTCCCTACATAAGGTTTATATCATTAATAGATATATTTACCGAACACTTTGTACCGATTAAAGACTTTGCCGATTAAAGAATTTTACATGATGATTACCTTTAACTCTTACTCATCTACGAGGTAGGAATGATTATTATCCCTCTCTTATAAAGGATGAAACTGAGACAACAGAGCCTAAAGCATTTTCCAGTGGTCACACAGCTAAAAGTTGGCAATGCCTGGATTTCAGCATGTTTTCTGATAAGTGGATCAGGATATAGTATTTCAGAATATCCAGGCGACAGCTAGAGAAAATCTGCCTTGGTTTCACCATCGGCCTAGTACAGAGGTGAGAGTGCATGGGGCCTTCAGGCAAGGCAGCTGTGCTAGAAACAGGAAAGCTGGACCAAACCATTTCTCCCTCTAGACTGAAGTCTAAAAGCTTCATCTGTATTTAGAGCTTCTATCGGTAGGTGGCGCACGTTCTACACAACTCCACAGTTTATTGCAACAGTGATGCCCTAAAATCAAGGTGTGCTGGTTTGGGGAGATCAAGGTTTGCAGAAATACCCCCAGCCCATCTTGTGACTGCATTGCCAAAGACTTCCCTCTCCCTTGCAGAAAGATAGACTCTGCGTGGACAAGACTTCAGCCAAGATTGTGTGCCACAAGGATGCCAAGATCCGCGTGCAAGCCCGAGACCGCTACTATAGTTCATCCTGGAGCGACTGGGCATCTGTGTCCTGCAGTTAGGTGAGCAGGCCCACAGAGCCCAGGCCACACCTGAACACTCAGCGTCCCCGGGGCGCAGGGCAATGGTGGGGGACAGTATGAGAGAAAAGGGAGACAGGGTGCCTGGTACACAGTCACCAGAGCCAGAAACATACATTTGTTCATTAAACAGGTATTATATTAAAAAAATAAAAAATAACAGGTATTATTTGATGTCCATATTGTTCTGGGGACTGTGCTGAATGCACAGATATTGCAGTAAAGAAAACAGGCATAGGTCCTGCCCTCCTGGAGGAGAAGACAGAGAGAGGTAGCCAAGGGAGCAAAAAGAGCTTGCAAGCGGGATGCCTGGGTGGCGCAGCGGTTTAGCGCCTGCCTTTGGCCCAGGGCGCGATCCTGGAGACCCGGGATCGAATCCCACGTCAGGCTCCCGGTGCATGGAGCCTGCTTCTCCCTCTGCCTGTGTCTCTGCCTCTCTCTCTCTCTCTCTCTCTCTCTCTCTCTGACTATCATAAAGAAATAAAAATTTAAAAAAAAAGAGCTTGCAAGCGATTTTCAGGAATTAGCACCTTATCCTGGGCACCCTGGGGGGGCGGGGCACTGACTGCAACCAAATCCAAATCCTCAGCCACATAAGGATGGGCTGGGTCTTTCTGACATGGAATCCCCAAACCCAATTGCCCCAGTATCGTGGTGTGTGAAGTAAGGGGGCTTGCTGCCACATTTCTAATCTACATAAACTATTGGTATTCTTTTTTCAGATTCCACCCCCAGGATGAACCTTGGAGGGAAAGTGGAAGATATTATGCAAAATTTTCTAAGGACACATTGAAGAGGCTCCAAAAGTTATTTTCTGCCTAATTTTCTTTTTGTAAAGGGTCATTATTGTGTCTTCGCAATATTTTTTACATTTAAATGCCAAATGCCCACTGAAACAATCAGCTACTTTATTTATAGATTTTCAGCTAGCAGGCTGCCACTGACCTTAATGCTATTTAAATATTTAAGTAATTTATGTATTTATTAATTTATTGTTATTGAATACTTGTGTGCCAAGATATATTGTATGTTTCATACCCTCAGGACCTGATCTGTAAGGAATAGGCCCTATTATGCAAAATGTGAATTTATGTGTTATTTATACTGACAACTTTTCAAGCAAGAATGTATCATTTTTATGACAACCAGTGAGCACACAATATTATGATGCCAGCACCATAATATATTTGTGATGGATGGGAACACAGAGGTAGTTAAATAGAGACATGGAGACACGAATCCATTTGAGAAGTTTCTGGAGACGGAGATGTTAGATCCTGTATCCATAAAGACTTCCTTGCGGTGGTGTTGATAAAGCAATTCAGGGCCACTTGCATTTTTAAGCAAGTTTAGTTTTTGGATGCCTGAATTTAGAAAGACCTAAAATAACTCAAATTGAAATTCAGCTTCAGCCACCCTGCCAGTCCCCATCCCCATCTATCTGTAAGACATTGGAGAGTGACCCAGGGACACTCTAAGTGCCTGGAAGTAAAAAGGTCTTATGATCCAAGAGGGAGAACCAACATGGCCAAGCACAAAAAATTGTCAGAATTTCCAGCTGCTCCTTAATAGCCAGGCAAAAAAAGCACATGGATGCAAAGAAAATGGTCAAGAATTGCTTACTGGACAGTGCGAGTGAACCTGACTGGTGGATGTGACCAGAAAGTGCCAGTCACTGAGGTGCTACTTTTAAGTAATGAATGTGCTTTCTGTAAAGTGATTTCATTTCTTTTCTGTTTACTTATTTGTTTTTGCATTCTGACAATGCACTAATAAAAACATAACTCTTGTTTGCAATAATATTTTGGGCTTTCTCAGCTGACTCGAGTATCCTGTTCCCACATTTACCAGGACTGCATTATTTTCCCCCTGCCATTTAAGAGTTGCTCTTCTTTGAAGCAATTTCACTTCCAGTTCTGCAGTGTTGCCCTTTCCCTTTATAGAATTCCCAAAGTCAGTGTCTTGCTGAGCTCAGGGAATGTCCCTGTGGTCAGACCACAGGGAACTCTGGAAGGGCAGGGAACTGCACTTATGCCCTCTTCAGAGGTTGGATGCACTTGCTTCTTTTGCCATCTATCCTAGAATCCACTCTACTGTTTCCAAAACATCATGAAATAAAACCCCAATGTGATCGAGTCACGAGCTCCCAGCTCATAGATCCAGGTCCAGTGTTTACAGAAGGTTTGTCATGCGTCTTGAGATGGAGGAGTTCCAGAAAACCTTGGGTTGCCTTCCCCAAACAGTGCCCACTCCTGGCACAGCTTATAAAACAGGGATGAAAAGTTAACTTCGGTACCACTAAATGCTAAAATATTCAGTATACAGTGCCCTGTGGTAAGAACAAAGGAGAAGAACCAGTGAAGCCCAGGAAGGCTCAGTAGAACAGGGGAGGTCAAGGAAAGGGCAGGCCAATTTCTCTTTGGTGCCTCCCAGGGAAAGAGCAAGCAGTGGGATCACAGAGAATGGAGTCCATTCTCTACCATCTTCAATGGCCAAGAGTATGTATCTGGGCTTCCTTGCAATGGCAAGATAATCATAATAGGGATGTTGTGAGTGCCCTTATTTTAAGTGTCTCCTGGAGCCCTTATTCTACTCTGCTTTTGACCAGGAGGAATGATGGACCTAATCCAACATTTGAAACCTATTATCTTGTATTATGAGCCCACACTTGATAGCACACGGTTGGGTAATAACAACTATTTGTCCTCGTATAAGGTCTTTCATCTAGAGATACCAAAGCACTTAATGGGTACTTAATGAGCAACGCTAACCAAGAAAAAATAATTAATCACATTTATGAGTACAGGGACCAGGGGACCTTACCCAAGACTTCCGGCCAGCGTGGGGCAGAGCTCAGATGTCCTGGCTCCCATCTGACGTGACCTCTTAGCATTCAGTTAATTTCAATTTCAGTACATGCACTGAAGAGCTTTTGTCTTTGAAAGATAGTCTCCAGAACAGTCCTTTTTTGTGGGGCATCTATCCACCACTGGGTCTGTTTAGCCCTGCTAACATGACACGTGACCTTCAGCAGGGCGCTGGGCACAACCTGCTGGTTGTCCCATCACCACTCACTCTCAACTTCTTTCTCTTCCAGTGACCCTCCTGAGCTCTAGAGTTGGGAAACTAAGTAATCATTTTCTAGCTGTGCTGGCTGCCCAGCAAGGCCATGAGACCTAGTTCTAGCCCATGACATGTAAGAAAATTCTGCTGGCATTCTCCTGAGTAAAAACAGACCCATAGCGAGCATTACCCATTCCCCTCTTGCCCTCTTGAGCAGATGAAATTTAAGAAGTCTCGAGGGCGCCTGGGTGGCTCAGTCAGTGAAGAGTCTGCCTTTGGCTCAGGTCGTGATCCCAGAGTCTCAGGATCAAGCCCCCACATGGGGCTCCCTGTTCAGGAGGGAATCTGCTTCTCCCTCTGCCCCTTCCTCTCCCCCTTCCTCTGTTCCTCCAACTCCCCCTCCCCTCTCTCCTTCCCCCTGCTCCTGCTCTCACACACACTCTCTCTCTCTCAAATAAATAAAGAAAAAAAGAAATTGAAGAAGTCTCAGAGGAAACCTTGCAACCAGAATAGAAGCTATCATGCTGAGACTGTAAAGATAAAGGGACTCAGGGACCCTAGCAACATCAAGAAGCTGAACCAAGTCCTGTAACCACCTACCCCAGACTTCTTGTGTTAGAAAGATAGATCCATGTGTGTGGTTTTTTAAATTGTGGTAAAATACACATATGATAAAATGTACCATTTTAGCCATCTTTAGGAGTCGAATTCAGTGGCATCAGCTATATTCAAATTGTTCTGCAACTGTCATCACCATTCATCTCTAGAATTTTCTCTTCTTCCCAAGCAGACTCTACCCATTAAACAATAACTCCTCCCATGTTTGTTTTCAAAACAGAAAACAGATAAACTGAAAATGAAATATTCTCTTAAACATCTCCATAGCTCCCCATCTATGAGAGGCACCTGGCCATGGCAGAAAAAGAAGCCAAGCCAGCCGGGTAGGAATTGACATCTGGTTCTGCCCCTTACAGCTGGCATACCCCTAGAGAAGCCCTGGAGCCACATCCAGTGATGTCAAGTCAGGTCTTGGTGATACCCTGCCTACCTGAAGAAAAGTAACCACGGTTAGAAAGCTTGTTCCAGGGCAGTCTGAGCCTGAGCAGGACTAACCTGAGTGAGGAGGGAGGGGGGTTCAGGCAAGCAGTTCCCAGGGGAAGAACATCTCTGCTGTTCCTTCATTCACTCAATAATGTGTTTTTGAGTAACTGCTCTGTCCTGGCACCATCCTCAACTTTCTGGAGACTAAGGCTAAGTGAGACTTTGCTCTCCCACTGCTTCCAGTCTCCAAAGGATTAAATGCTTGAAATTCCAAACGCTGAAGGTCACTTCTTGAGGGTTAAGGACTCTATGAGATAATCAGTGTAATGGGATTAGCACAGTGCCTGGTCTGCAGTAGGCACTTGGTAAGTGGTAGCTATTTCCACTGACCAGCTCTGTGATCTTCAGCAAGTTACTTCTTCAAGCCTCAGTTTTCTCATCTGTAAAATGGGATAATAACAGTCCCCACTTCTCAGAGGTGGTTGTGAGGATTAATGGAATAACCCTTGGAAAATGCTTATAAAAATCCCTAATCCATAAATAAGTACTCAATAAAACCTGATTGCTAATGTTCTATTACCTATAACACAAAAAAAAAATAATTCAGGACCCTGTGCTTTTGTGGTGTGAGGGAGATGGAGGGATCGTTGTTAGGAGGTTGTGATGTGTGTCAGAAGTGGATTGGGATGAAGCATTAATCAGTCGATGAAGAGATCAGTCAAGGTCCTCAGTGTAGAACACCTTTCTTATAAGTAAGATTGCAGAAACATCCCCATGTGGGGAATACCAAGAGGCAATGAACCCAATTTCAGCCTTCAGAAATTGTACAGTCTGAAGGGGGCAAACATGGTGAATACATACTTTAAAATATAGCTACACTGGGATAAGGGTATGTGCACCCTCAAGCTTTCTTTTACAAAGGTTTTCAGCTCCCAGGAAAAGACTTTTCCTTCCTGGATGCAATAATTTGGCATAAGTCTACCAATGCACCTTACCTATAAATCAGATTTTAATCATCTCTCTCCATTTCATTTCAGGATGGCCCCTCTTCTAGGACAGCGTTTGTGAGCAAAATGTATTTGGACAAGACTTTCTCCATAGGGCCATATTATAACCAAGGAAATGAATTCCTTCTCTCGAGCTCATAAAATGCAAAAAAATAAAATCAGCATTCAGGCTGAGGGCAGAGGAAACCAGGCGTGCATACTGAAAAGCCTCCTTCTGCATGAAGCGCCCTGGGCAGAGCTGATTTGCATTTACCTTCACGCAGGCCTGGGTTCTGGAGGCATGTGGGGCGTCCTGGCAGCCGCCTGCAGCGTGCACAGCCCCTCCGTGCATGCAGGCCCCTGTGTGACCTGCTGCCAGGCTCCTCGGACTCTTTCATTAGGAACCTAAACCGTCTCTCCCAGGCCCTTCGCCCCAGCTGACCAGGAGGCCCTTCGCCCCAGCTGACCAGGTGGCTTCCCTGGCTCTTTGCAAAAGGGCCATTGCTAACGCTAGGATGGGGGGTTCCGGAGAGCTGAGTACTCTGCCCGTGACCCTGGGGTATGGAGGAGAGGGAAAGCTGGAGGCCAAATCTTGCACAAAGTCCAGTCCACTTCCTCCTTCCCATGCCCACCATCCAACAAGCACCACCAAACACTGATGGAATGGGATCACAGTGCCTGGGAGGATCCAGGGCACGGTGTGCACATGCATGTGCATGGGCATGCATGTGCATGTGTGTGTGTGTGTGTGTGTGTGTACCTGGCCCTGGAACAAGGAGACCTGGGTTCAAATCCCTGCTGCCCACTTACCAGCTATGTGCCCTTAGGCAATTCCTTAATCTCTCTGTGCCTCAGTTTCCTTCCCTCTAAAATAAGATGCTAGCAGTGTTACAACCCCGGGGATGTTGTGAGAATTTAAGGAAACGAGGCACACAGCACCCAGCATCTGGCAAGTATACCTCAAATGTCAGTTGCAGTTTCTGTTTTTATCAAGTCAGACCAAAAAGGAGAAGCAGTCCTAATCCCAGCGCTTCCTTCCACCCCACGGAGGTGAGGACTGGTTCTGGACGTGTACATAAGCTTTCCAGCCCTGACTCAGAAATCTGTGTCCTCCTGCCCATCGGCCTCTCCTGGGCCCACTGCCAGCACACAGCAGTGATAGCGCCCCCAAATCACAGCATATGGAGCAGTGCTGCATTTCAGCAACCACTGCTTGGCTTTCTGCTCGGCCTTATTAAAACATTCTCCAGCCATGGCTGCCCCCTTTTCTGAAATCCCTCTTGTTGCCCCTTTAGGGTCCTTAAAGGTAACCAGACCAATGGTCTCCCAGCTTGTTTGAGCTAGAATCCCTTTGTTCAAGCGGAAATCTTAGATGAAATCCCACCATAGACAGGCACTGGGGAGAATGGTGGCCAAAGCCTCTTCTTATCAGCAATGTTCTCATTCTTTACAAGAGGAAAATATTAGCAGAGTTCCTGCATAATTAAAAATTAATTTTTTGGGATCCCTGGGTGGCGCAGCGGTTTGGCGCCTGCCTTTGGCCCAGGGCGTGATCCTGGAGACCCGGGATCGAATCCCATATCGGGTTCCCGGTGCATGGAGCCTGCTTCTCCCTCTGCCTGTGTCTCTGCCTCTCTCTCTCTCTCTGTGACTATCATAAATAAATAAATTTAAAAAAAATTTTTAATTTTTTATAAAGTCCTATATGTAAA